AACGATACGAGTGCAACGCAGGCGTCACCACTTTGTAGAACAGCTGCTCAACCAACACTTGTGGATGTTGTATCAATGCGTGCTGTTGGATGACAGTAACCGCGCCCCATGAATCGAACACTCATTTCTCTTTGAAGTGTGGCAACCCCACTAATGGATTTTTGGTGTACAAACCCAGAAGGGTAGCACACAAAAACGCTGATCAAACACTACTGAGCATTCAAGACGCGATTACGTCTGCATACCTCCTTCCCGCACGGGCAGCCGCACCAGCAGGAACCGACAGATGGAGCACGTTTTCACCGCAACATTGGTAGGTATTGAGTAAGGTAACTGCAGGTCGACAGCAACTCACTCGTTATTGGGCTCTCGCGCTTGTCGCTACCACCGAACTTTCATTTCCTCGCTCTCCGAGGATCGCTTTACTAGCACGTAACGCGCTCTTCACTTATAGCCCGGCTTGGTCAATTCGCAGGCGAATTCACCATCTCTTCCCATTCTCTTATCGAACCAACGGCGGGCGAACGCAGTGCTCTGGTAGTGGAGCGAACCGCAACCATGAACGGGCAAGTCCTCGATCAACACCATGACAACCACCAGCACTGACGCTGAAGACAGTGCACCAAACAGCCCAGTATCACAGGCGTCCAGTACGAATGACACAAAGTCCGAGCATAATGTTTCTCGACTGCGGCGTGTCAGAGGTAGTATACCATGGCAGCTTTGGATCGTTGCTGTCATCGGGTTCTGGGAGAGGGCAACTTTCTGGGGACGTGAGTGTTTTGATCACACCGCAACATCATGCCTGAACTAGCACTGACTCTATTGCGGACAGTCACAGCCCCTTGGCGTATGTCGTTGCCAATACCTCGTCTCCATCAACTGTTCTGACTAGCTTGTTGTAGAAAACTACATGGAACATCCCCGGCATCACGATATGGAGCACACCCCTGGTGCGCTTAATCTTGGCCAGACGACGGCAACACGTATTTACTGTGGATTCTTCATAGTCTACTTCACAAGTCCGGTCTTCATAGCACCGTTGGCTGATAATCATCTGGGCCAATACAAGACTTTGCTGATCAGCTTGACGGTATATGCCCTGGGATGTCTTGCACTGGTCGTCAGCTCGCTACCCTCCATGCTCGGTCGAGGCGCGGGTCTGCCTGGTCTGATCATTGCAATGGTCCTGATAGCCCTTGGTGGGGGTGGTGTGAGTAAAGCAGTCAACAACCATTCTTACGCGTACTGAATTTCTTAGACCCAGGCCATCATGAGGTCTTTCATCGCCAACCAGTACACAGATAGAGCTCCACGAGAAATGACGCTTTGCGGAACGCAGAACCGTTTGCTTCAATGGCTGAGGAGACGCGTAGCGCGAACATGTCTTTCGAAGTACTTACCAGCATCGTCGAAAGGCGAACGGGTCGTCGTTGACAGCGAAATCACTCTTAAGTTCATTTACAATCTATACTTCTGGATTGGTAACGTAGGAGCTTTGTCGGCATTTCCTTGTGTCTACATTGAGAGGCACCATGATTTCGCTCCTTCGTATGCGCTGGGTCTTGGCTGTATCATCATCGCCCTTGGGATGCTGGTCTTCGGAAGGAAGTGTTTCGGTACGCATGATTCACTCATTTGGTACGCCTTATGCTAAAACATTACAGTCAACCCACCTCAGGAGGCAGATGTCATTGTACCTGCTGCGAAAGTTCTCAGCTGCGCCGTCCGCAACGGGTGCCGGATGGATCGTGCAGACCCATCATATCAGCGTTTGGAGAAATCCAAGGAAGTTCCATGGAGTAGCCAGTTCGTCGATGAACTGACACGTGCGTTGGGCGCTTGTCGCGTGCTGTAAGTGCTACCACTCTTGTTTCTCAAGCATACTAACATGTAGATTAGCCTGGCATTCATCGTCTTCTACATCTGCTTCGACCAAATGCAGAACAACTTGATCTCTCAAGCGAGCGATATGGATACTGGTAGTACACCCAACGATGTCCTGCCCGGCATGAACCAAGTGGCATGCATTATAGTCAGTCCGTTCGTGGAGTACGTCCTAAACCCCGTGCTAGCCAAGCGGCGCATATACCTGAAGCCAGTCACTCGCATTGCCATTGGCTTTTGCTTCGTCGTACTCTCGATGCTGCACGCAACTCTAGTGCAGCATTACATTTACGCATCCCCGCCCTGCTTCGACCACCCAACAGACTGCGGAGACCGCCAATCTGTCGCCCAAGACCGGCCTAATGTCTGGGTACAAGCGCCGCTTTATTTCCTCATCGCGACGGGCGAGGTTTTCGCTATGACGACAGCCATGGAATACGCAGAGAAGCATGCACCCAAGGAGATGAAAGTGCTCGTACAGGCCATCAACATGCTCATCACGGGCATAGGCTCTGCTATCGCGCTAGTCATCGCGGAAGGGGCGCGCGATCCATACCTTACTCGATTCTACGGTAGTCTGGCAGGAGCCATGGCCCTCACAACCATCATTTTCTACGTGGTGTTCCGCAACAACGACAATGACGACATTGCTCCATCGCCGCACGGTTCCGCAGATGTGGAAAAGGGAAACAGAGACGCCACGCCTACACCACCCTTGACAGCTTCACCGTTTCGATCACGCGAATCCTACCTGAGCGTTCCCACGACAGTTAAAGACGAGGGCATCGAATTAAGAGTGATTCCACCTTGCAGACTACGACAATAAGTGAGCGACACAACACCACTGCATCGTAGTCACGCGACGGAGCATACATTGCCCAGAATTTGCGTACGCCCCTTGGCTAGCACTAAGTAACGCGACTTTTCGTTACGGCTGTATATACGCAAGTGCAGGGTGGCTTTGATAAGGATGTTGCCGTGCAACGCCAGCGAAGGTTGGATTGGAGGCAACCATTACGTCTCCAAAGTTACATGAAGCCATTGACATGGACGGCTTTAGGTGTACCTTCTCGAGATCTCACCCCACCCAGGGATAGAAGTGGACCTGAATCTCCCCGCAAAGTAGTCTAAATAAATACTCATAAGCCTGCACTGTCTTACAATATTGCACACGTTTGTTTTAATACCCACAGATGTGGCTGAACTGATAAACATGCCTCAAATTGGTATCGTTGCTCACAGCCCCCGTAGATCCAGCTTTGCAACCCGTCCGCCAGACCCACTGGCCCAGCAAACGTCTCTCTCAACGCACTCGACAGCATCGAACGTTCCATTACCGATAGGAACCCAATTACTCCCTCCGTCGATAGTGATATCTGACCCACTAGTTCCAACTGCAACGGCTGTTTGTCTCCTCCCTGGCACCCAACTGACACCCGATCTATATCCGCGTGGAAACGAGTCAGCCTTTCGCCAGCTCACGCCGCCATCGTTCGACCAAGACGCCGTATTGTTGCTGGCTGTGGGTTTCTCATAATCTCCGCCGACTGCGATACCGTGAGACGTATCGCGAAAACGTACTGAGAACACACCGGCAGCGGCACCACCAGAGATGAACGAGTTCGCGACCTGCCAGCCATGACTGACGCTATCGGAAGTTGTGTAGAAAATTCTTCCAGGATCCACGCCGCCACTTGCGATGTACCATCGGCCCGCCGCAGCTTCAATGCATGTTCCGCTTGCTGCGAAGCCGAATTCGCCGTCCAGCGCTGGCGGCATCGTGTTGTTCGAAACAATAGACCAGTGCGCACCACCATCCCACGTTTCTAGCAGACGGAATTTGCCGTCGACAGGATCACTCATTGCAACGCCGTGGCCTTCTCTACCTCTTTTTGTCTCGAACGCCATGCAATCATAGAATGCTGTCTTTTCCTCATTGATGAACGTGGGTCTCCAGCTCTTTCCGCTGGACATTGGCGCGCGAAGTCAGTATACGTGTTGCATGTAATTTGTACATAGCAACTCACCCATTGTCCGTTTTGTAGATTCGTGACAAGTTTCCCTCACCGATCGATAAAGCAACGGCATTTTTCTTGGAGAAAGCCTGGATATCGCGGAATTGGAAGTCTGAAGCATTCTCGGACGCAAATCGCGGGGACACGTCGACCCACGTTGCCCCGGAGTTGGTGGTACGTAGAATGGTGCCAGATGTACCGGACACCCACAGTACCTTTTCGTCAACAGGCGAAAGGCCACGGAATTGTTGTGTACTGTTTGTGGGTGTAAGCGTCCATGAGAGAGGCTTTGTAGGCTTTGGATGCGCGAATGTGAACGAAGCGATCGAGAACAGGATGGATAATGTCTTCATGATGCAAGCACTCAGGAACAAGGCAATATTGTATACAACAGTCGTCTCAGAGTTAAAGAGATGATGCTGGAGAGATTAAGTACCTAATCAAGCGCAGCTATCGTGCCCCGCAACGGCCTTTAGCCTTGATAGGCAGGTGCGACATTCGCCACACCAAAGTAGTGGCATTGAACCCAGCATCAAAGACTTGATGAAATACATGTCTTTCGGACCATGATGGAGTATCTGCGCGAAGTACACAACTCTACGTCTAAGCAAAGCGTCCAACGATGTTGAATTTGATGTTGCTTGCACAGTTCACATATAGCGCAATGTAGGTTTCGGACCGAGATCGACCCAGCCGCCTGAAATGTAGCAACTTGAAGGTTGAGATGTGGGAGGGACCTTGCCATCATGACTTATATATCTGCATTCGCGTATTTGTTTCTGACATGATATACGGACGACGGAAGAGTTGTTCGCTCTGACTACTTGCGACACTTGTCTGAATACCGGAAACATGCGGCCTATATTGAGTATCGGTAGCCTACGTCTTCGGCATAGCCAGGCAAACTCCTAAAAAGACTGATTAGATAGGTGTCAATGGGTGACATTTTGGAAGTCGAGAGTTTGCATCACGCGAAGCTTGGAGAACCTCGATCATGCCAACGACAGCAAGCGGATTCAACGATGCATGTATCGAACATCTTGCAATTTAGAGCTAGGTGATAGAAGAGTTTGAAGAGAAAAGACGCAACACGCGTGCTCATTGATTAATCGCAGCTTCGGTAGCTTTCAAAGCTCCAACTACAGCAAAGCATATCATGGGGGTGACTGCGTAACTGATCTGCCGGTGGGTTAGTGGATGCTACCAGCTGACAGTATCTGATGGTTTCTTACTGTTAAGAATTTTGCAACAGTCATCTTCATCGACTCCGCTGCACCTGTAACATCGGCTAGCGCTACCAATATCATAGCAGGCGGACCGGTCGGCATGAGCATCATCGAGAACCAAAGCATAGGGTCTGCATCTAGAAGCTTCGTCTTCGAGGCGATTGCGTAGATCAAAGGTATGCTTATTCTGTTGCCGATTAGTCGAAGCTTCCTCCATGTAGCGGGTAAAGAATCTTACAAGGGCCAGATGATGAATCTAATCAGGGTCACGGTCGCCAGACTACCCTTGTGCACCTCCCCACTGTGCTCTCCGCGCTTCATGCGCAACAGGCTCTTGCTGAGCTTTACCCCAACAACAATGATCTGCAACGAAGCAAATAGATCGCCGATATTCTTTATCGCCGCCGTGATCGACGCGTTGAGATAACCACCCTCGTTGCTAGGACTGAAAAAGATTCGATGAAGCGCGGGCGTCAATCCAATTACTGCTCCGACGATAGCGCCGATCAAGGGAGCGTTGGCAAAATGCCATGTGATTTCCAGTGTCTCTTGTAGCCACGGAGACAAGTTGTTGAACCATGCTCTTGTCTTTAAATATCCTTTTACCTCCACGCGATTTGCGGGCTTGGTCAACTGGTGTGGGAGCAGCGAAGTCTCCTCATCGACGATCCCATCAGGACCTCGCTCCATATCACTACTCCCGCCGTCTCCGTTCGCTTCGCCGTTCTCCGAATCATCGTCCTCTCCATCTGGTTCATTGGATGCGTCCTCATCTCCTGGCCTCAACAAGCGCGGCCCAAGAGCAAAGGTAAGCGAGTTGCTAACCATTGCATTCACCAGGAAGTATGATTCGGCTCGATCCATGGCCTCACCGCCAGACTCGCCGCCAATGAGTATGGCATCGAGAACTTGGGTTTGCTTGAGAGACTGTATAAGGAGGAGGGGAAGAGAGGTCGTGTTATTGAAGGCGATTGCTGGTGCTACCCAAGCTGGCAGTTTGAAGAGGCGCGTAAGGACGCGGCCGACGAGGACGGAAAGTAGTGTATAGGATATCGACCATACTAACAATTGTGGTAAGCATATAGTTGACGAAGGCCCACAAAGTAGACTTACTCAGAACAGGCACATATCGCACTCCGGTGTCCTGATGCAGATTGGACCCGATTTTGTAGATCAACAAAGCCGGCAGAAACATGCGCACGCATAGCTTCGACACCTCCTTCGCCGCGTTGGGCGAAAGTAAGTTGCATTGTGCTGCGACAACACCAAAAGCAATGGTCAGGAGCACCGAGAAGGCAGCTTGAATGGCGCCGGTGAAAGGTACGATGAGTTCGCCTGCAGCCACACCCATGATGGGAAGAGACGTCTAGCAGTCGGTAGCGGAGGAAAGTCCGAGTCGATCGTGTGGTAGCGGAGGTCAGAATGATGTAAAGCGTCGAGTAGTCTGCAAGCGTGAAATTAGGAAGACAGAGTTTAGCATCATCGTCGTCGTCGCGCACGCGACCTGGGCCGCGTTCCTGGACCATGACGTCGGTGCAGCGGGTCGCCGTTGGAGACGCCAATCCCACGCCGCGGCGCTATCAGGCGGATTACTCCATCCATCGCGTCTCTTCAGACGTCCATTGGAGACCCCGAGATTCCGGTAGATCGTGTATCGGAGTTCCCGAAGATAGGTAGACTGCGAGCTGTGCGGTGGGCCAGAGTGCTCTTGAAGATGTAGCAGCGCCGGCACGCAAGACGCTTGGACGGTCGCGTCGGCGGATACGTGAGACGCTAGATTAGTCATCGGAGTTAGCCAAGCGCTTGGCGACTGCTAGAGCCTCACAGGCATGATAGGTTCACAGGCCAAATTCTCCACGCGTTTCGTCAAGAGACAGTGGTATTGATACACGATATAGGAAATCTAAATAGGAAATCTAAATTACGCCACCTATGCACAGCGTCCGCACAGAAACTCCGCTGGCCGTCGTCTTCGCCGCAACATTACCGACGCGTCCGTCTCGCATCTCATCCCATCTCTCAACACGACGCCCCTCTACGCCGCCTTCTTTGTAGCCTTGGTCCTCAACTTCATCATCAAGTACACCAGTGTGTAACTGCTCACCGAGAACAACACGACGATGCCGGCGTTCCTCCACCCATAATACTCCTCCGCAAGGTTCAGGGTCCGGAGAAAGTCCGCTCCGCTCTTGTACTGGCACACGCGGCAGTCGACGGTGGCATCGGGATTGAGCAGGTTGACACCGGATCCCATACCCTGCTGGTAGACTGAGAGGTATTCGCCGCAGGTCTGGTTGGCAGCAGGGTCGAAGATGGCGAGCTCGCTCGATTTGCAGTCCACATTCGCAGACCAGGTGGTGAACACCAAGAGAGAGGACATCAGGTAGTTGAACGGGTCCAGATAGTAAAGCCAGTACCTCCAGAACGGCTCGAGCTGACTGTAGGGAACCAGAACTCCGCAGAAAGACACCAGTGTCGTGACGAAGAGAGGGTTGACGAGCGAGGCGAATACGGCGTTTGGAGAGTAGGCTGCGATCATTTGCCCGATACCAGTATACAGGAACTCGTAAACAAGCTGCGATATGTCAGTTTCTGCACCGTCGACGCTGCCATGAGAGGGGGGTTGCCTACCACAACGAAAAATGTGCTGCCAGCGTACTTTGCTGCACCAGGCAAACCTGCCGTGAAGTACCAACACACATAGTACATGACCGCGCACACGACCAAATACGGAAGCTCCGAAACGATCAGTCCTGTCACGAATGGCGCCCAGTGGTATGTCTTGCTCTTCTTCTCGCGCGTTTCGTAAACATCGCGGCGTTGAATGAACAGCGGTTGTAGCTGGGAGATGACGCCAGGGGCCACGAAAATGAAGCTGAATACAGTGAACAGTCGCAACTGCAAGTCCTGAAGACTATCGCCAATCATCCAGAAGGTGAAGCCGTTGAGTAAAGCCAAGAGGATGTGCATAATCACCTTGTTGTTGACGTAATCGGTGTTGCGGAAAAGCGAGACGTTCATACGATGCGTAACTATTTTCACTTGCTCCCACATGGGCGAGGCAAACGCATAGCCATCATCGACAGTACCCGGTGGGCGAGCGGCGGCTTCCGCAACGATCCTGTCAAGCTCTTCGGTCACGTCGTTGTACTGTTGGGATTCGAGCCAAACCCTGTTCCAATCCGTGTTCTGAGACAAACTGCCGGAGACGACCTCTATCATGTGCTCGGCAGGGTTTGCCTCGCGTGGACATGGCGCTCCCTTGCTAGCGAAGTAGGATTTTACCGTACTTGCATCGTCACCGATATCGCCAAAGTAGACAGTCTTGCCACCCTTGGCGAGTAAGAGAAGCGTATCGAATTGCGCGAACAACTGGGCTGATGGTTGGTGGATCGTTACGAGGATGGCCTGTCCGACTTCCGCGAGCTTGCGCAAGAAGCGCACAGTGTTGTACGCAGCTTGCCCATCGAGGCCAGACGTCGGCTCGTCCAGGAATATCAGGATGCTGGGCTTCGCTACCAGTTCAACGCCGATCGTCAATCGTTTACGCTGCTCGATGGAAAGGCCAGCACCAGGTCGGCCGATGAGTGTATGCTCGAGGTCGTGGAGTTGTAAGAGGTCAATTATGGTGTCCACGTAGCGGAGCTTCTCGTCTCGTGGTGTTTCACGAGATTGTCGGAGAAGAGCGGAGAACTCCAAAGCCTCGCGTACCGTGGCCAACGACTCGTGTACGTCCATCTGTTCAACGTAGCCTGCCGATCGCTGGAACGATACCGGGAGGTCTCGTCCATCAACCATGATAGACCCATGGATCGTGCCGTCGGTCTTCCGCTGAGCGAGAACGTCGAGTAATGTCGTTTTGCCAGCCTACATACAGTGTTAGAGTTCAAGACGCTCACAGTGGACATTGAGGTATGACTTACGCCCGAAGATCCCATTAAAGCCCCAAGAGTTCCGGGCTTCACGAATCCCTGTACGTTGTCAAGGAGAACTCGATCGCCTGATGGAGTCTTGACAGTGTACGTAAGATTCTTCCAGGTAAAGATTGAAGTATTGCGGATGAGTTGGTTGGCGAGCGTGTTATCAGATCCGGAGGACGCGGAGCTAGCATGTGGCTTCTCATATGATTGAGACTCCTCGTCATCGACGTGGATATGCTGAGTCTTCTTCTGTTTCTCTCTTGGGATGAGGAGTCCACGGCCACCCTCACCCATCTCCTTCCATCTTGACGTGAACACTATCGTCAGAGCTACGAAGAAGACCCACCACGAGAGAATGATACCGAGATTGCGCCAGAGATGGCTATGACTGAAAGACATGGAGGCCAGGTAGTCATCCCCTGTGACGATGACTGCCCCGGGTCGTGCACCATTAACGCCAATACACGACTGCCCACCTAGGTCTGGCACGTATCCTGGCCCATTGGGAGCGAGATTGGGACCTACACACGGTATTTGTTGATCGTGAAACTCGTTGCCTAGCAAAGCCTCAAAGGCGTAGGCCATCGGGTTGATCCAAAAGATCCAGACAAACCAAGGCTTCATCTCAGGCTTGATGATCATGTAACCCATATACATGAACAGTGCCGAGACGAGGAGACCTGAAGCTTTCGTCGCTGCATCAAATGTCGGGAAGGCAGCACCGATCATGCGGAAACATGCAGTCATGGCCATGGCTGAAGCGAAGATGACGACCCAAAAGGTAAAGAAAGCTTCTGCGGTAGTCTGGAGTCCGACCATGAAGTATATGACGATTCCGAAGTGCGACATCTGGAACAACATCAATGGTATGTCGGTAGCGACCTGAGCGATGACGAAAGCGGCGGGGTAATGCAGTGCAAATGATCGATGTTTAGCCAGGACAGGCCGTCCAGTGAAAGAATCTGTCACCTCTGAGAGCCCCATGTAGGCAGGGTACAAAAGGCAAAAGAACAGTGCGCCACCTTTGAGGAACAGACCGGCCGAGTGATCCGGTGCGGCGTAGAACAACGAACCAGCGACAAGAGCTTGGATGAGGGTAGAGACTTGCTTGACGATTAACACGGGCTTATCACCCCACAGCACTTGGTACTGTCGAGTAACGGCCGTCTTGACCTGAGAGTAGAAGCTCGTAGTGACAGCGGCATTCTTTGGTAGAAACTTGTGCTTCTCTCGGGCTATCATCTCTTTGAAGTCGGTCGTGTTCAATTTCGCCTCCTCGCTGTCGGGGTAGTCGAGTTCCGCACTCATCGCTTGCTTGATGGACGATTGTTCGTACGCCGCACGTACTTCTTCGCCATTGCGCGGGAACTTCTCCTCATAGCCTTCGGCGACGGCTCGTACATCCGAGATCGTTACGCTGGTCAGGAAGTCGGCTTGGTTCGCGGCTGGGTCGCAAAGAAATCCGAGATCTTGCATGAAGGGCACTGCATCCTCTCTCGGTCCATAGTAGATCTGCTTTCCCTCATCGAGGATGAGCACTTTGTCGAACTGCTCATAGATACCGTTGCCGGCTTGGTACAAGGTTGCAATGGTAGTCAACCCAAGTATGTCGGTCATGGCACGCATAGCCTTCGTCCAATCCAGTGCTGTGCCAGCATCTAGGCCGCGCGTAGAGTTGTCCCAGCAAAAGACGCTGCCGCGCGTTGCGAGACATTCCAAGATGGAAACGCGTTTTCGCTCACCGCCTGAGACGCCGCGAATGTATTCGTCTCCGACCTTGGTGTCGTGTGTGTGCTCAATGCCGAGTGACTTGAGTAGAAACTCCTTGTAGACTTTCGCGTATTGTTCGGCAGAAGTGATGTCGGGCGGCAGATTGTAGGGGACTTTCATGCGTGTTGCGAAGTCGAGGGTCGCACCGACGGACATGGTAGGGAAAAAGATCTCATCTTCTGTGTTCATGACTGTGGGCAGGTCAGCATTTGAAGTATTGCTTCACCAGAAGACTACGCACCTATCTGACCGCGGTAGGACTTGGCTTCATCACTGGACATGGAGCCAAAGGAGACATCCCCGTCAATTTCGGCGTAGCCCTGTCGGTGATTCGACAATATGTTCAGCAGTGAGGTACAGCCTGCGCCCGGATTACCCAAGACGAGAAGCATTTCTGGAGAACTGTCAGCATCATTTGGTTCGCGCTTGATGAATAGGCGCGACATACCTCCAGGCTTCACACATCCATACGAGTTGTCGATGATTGTCTTCATTGGTGCACCCTTTCCCCTATTCCCGAACGGATTCAGCTGCGACAGCACGTTCTCGTTGAAGACGGCATCGTTGCTGATACCCTTGACTGTGAGATTCTTCCATGTCACACCCAACTTCCGGGCTTTGCCGCCATTAGCTTCGTCACGATCCCTGAGTACTCTGACTTCTTGCGAGATAGGCCATGTTTCGCTGTGGATGGGTGCACTCTTGGAAGTGGGTAAGTAGTCTTGATCGACGCGCTCGGTGCTGTACCCAGAACTAGGAGTCGTTGATTGCATTTGCAGTGCAAATTTGTGTATAGTAGGTACTTGAATCGATTGGAGGCCAAATGCTACAGCAGAAAGTTTGGTGTTGGCGGCTGAAAAGACAACGGACTGACGGCTGGATGGTGTGGACCAGAGGAACTGCAGGACCGGTAGTCCATATAGTCAAGTACCAAATTTGCTTATCTACATCATCTCTTCCATAGATCTGAAGCCACTCCGTGCGCCATCTGGCAAAGCTCTTGGCCGGAGAGAGGTCGAACCGCATAATCTGTTGTGGTGGAGGGCGTGCTGCAGTACGGCCGTAAGGCCTGGGTCGAAGACACGGCCGTACCCTTGCGCCTTCTCGGGCCGTCACATATGCCCACGAGAGTCGGAGGATCAACGCGCCGCCAGACGCCTGGCTCCGACTCCGTTCCATAACAGATTTGAAATATAACCGCGAAGACCCGATCGCTTACCTGACTGCTATTGTTTACTGATACATTTGTGGATATTGTGTTCTTAGTCATGAAGAATTCGCCGAAAACGTCAGCTTGGCTTTGGTCAAACAGCAATCTTTTGCGGATGTTCCTTGTGCGGTTAACATGTACTCGTATCGATGCGCCTGTATTGGAAAACATGTCAAAACCTTGAATGCCATCGCTTCTCGGGTGCTTCTTCAGTGCATCCCATGTACGTCGGACCGTGATGCGCAAGGCTGAGTATGTTTAGACCTCTCGGTGATCTTATAAATGTTTCCGCGCATGTATGCATCGTTATTGTGTGGGCTATAAGGTCGTAGACAAACCGTGCTGGCAAGCCGGAAGACAGAACGACTCGAAGATCGATGACATCATGTGATGATCGCCAATGATGACGACCTCGGCCCACGCTAACCAAGAGACACCCCAAACTTCCGAGAGCCTACGTTAACGTTGGATTATATATTTTGCATATTTCTATCTTGATGTAGGCTGCAGACCTGTTCAAGCTACTCCTTGTATGAGGTGGACCCACATAACACGCCTGAACAGCTGCGGATACCGCTTAGCTTGTCGGCGCACAAACGATGCGCAATCCGCGTCACGTAGGCGCCGAGATATATGGTAGGTAAGAACGCCCAGAAATTGAATCCTACGATTTGAGCGTCCGTGAATCAAGACTAGACGGTTGCAGCAATGCTTATAGCTCTATGATTTGAAAGCAGCTGACGCGAAGTTTGACCCTAGCCGAGCAAAGATGTTCTCCATCGGGCAAACAGGTACTGCGCATGAATGAATGGAAGAAAGACTACATAGCGTGGTGATATGAGAGAGCTACGAGCTTCTCCAGATCGGCTTACAGTATGCCAAATCGTGTCGCCATACAACCAACTCTTTTACTTCTTTATTCTCTCGCTTCGCCGGACGGGCTTTGCAAGGTTGTATATCACCAACGAGCATCGTAAGCATGTAGCACAATACGGTCCACGGAACATCCAGTCAAAAGCTGAATAAGGTTTAGTCTCCGAAGCCGACCACACGATCTCTCCACTGCGTGACATGCCTCTGTACATTACTGGCGCAGAGCGAAGTTTGACGGAAGAGGCTTAGTCTCCGAAGATTAAGGCCCCCAGCTAACCGTGTTTCGAACTCGCGCTTTTGAGGGCTTGACCTTGACGCATGCCAGAATTGCGAGATGATCTCGTGCGCCTATAGGCTGCTCGTTGGGCAACCATGTATATCACGTGCCAAACCATACGGTCAAGGTTGTAAGTAGCATACGAAGAATGCGCAAGTGCCTGTCAACTTGCGGTTGTATCCGGTTACCAAGGTGTCTGAGAATCTGCGAGATCATGCGGTACTCAGAGCCTCTTCCCATCGCTGTCGGAACTGTCCCTCTCCGCGCTGTATCTTGTACCAGAGCACTACTTCCAAATACGAACGAACCTCTACCCATGTATATAGTGCTAGATCATGAGCAAGAGTCGTGGCGTATGCACTGAACCAGCCAGATGTATCTGTGTCCTGCGATGCAACCATACCGATGGACAATACCCACAAGGCGATTTCAGCGTTTGCAGTTGCGAATGTAGGCATTAAGTCCTCGATATATCTCTTGAGTTCGATGACTAAGGTGGACTGTAGATGCGCATGCGAGAAGTATGTCGGTCCATGAATGATGAGCATGTATAATGCTATTGCGTATCGGATGCATTGGGAATTCGAACATGAGTTCGAGTATTTGAGTTGTGATTTCGATGGTGACCAGGAAAGTAATTTGTGCAAGACGAAGCATGTTAAGTCGTGCAGATGAGTAGTTGAAAGCTCTTGCTGGCGTGATACGTGGAACACATGTCGAAGCCGCGTGAATACATCGCCGATTGTGGGATCCATGTCGAGTTCCAAAAGGCCGAGTGAAGACTGGTCTTGAGAAGACGCTGGTAAATCCAACCATTTCGATATCGGGGCTATTCCGTCTCCAATATCCAGATGATCTTGGACGCTAAATTGCGGACTTTGCGTCAGTATCAATGAGACCCTGGATTAGAGGATTAGTAGAGCGACCGTAGATAGCGGACGATGAGTGACATGATTACCACGTGACCATTCGCGCTGTGAGGGGGCTTGTGAGTTTCAAAAGATGTATGCCGCCTCGCATTCGCACCATCTTCTTCACGCCATCGATGTGCATGTTACCAATTGTCAAATTGCCTTTGCCAAACTATAATTTCAGATGTCAGCGTATCAAATGAAGGGGCCCCAATGTTCAGAAGATCATCATACCTCTATGGCAGCAAGCGTTACGACCGAGTCCATGGTTTCGTCCTCATAAGCCTGAAGCGGGTCTTCAACTCGTCGCCGGACTAATGAAATGGAGTCTGCCATGAGAACCTCAGAGTTGTCGAATCCATTCTGAGCTCTCATCTCTATGTCCAACGACGCTGTCTGGAGGCTGACGTGGAACAAAGCGGAGTCATGTAGCGCAAGTGGCCACCATGACACAACGAAAGGGTTTGACATTGCGTTGAGATCCAATGGATAATACTGGAAGGCGATGTTTGATAAGACTATGGCGTATCAGTAAGCAGGGTAGTTGCAAGAACCTTCAGCAGGGAGGGATTCTTGACAATATACAAAACTAAGGGGGTCATGGTAGTTTTGCGAAGTTGTCAGCGCATCCGGTGCGGCTTTTGGTACGTACAATGAATCATGAGTTGCTGAACGCGAGCCCGGGGTAGTCTTGTGGCTGGGTAAGTGTCGAACGGGTCGAAGGCCTTATTTGCAGGATGGTTCCACAGTGCAGGTTGTTGGTTTCCATCCAACACAGGCGAGGTACTTGTGTCATTACGTATGCTCCGGGAAGTATAATTAGAAGGTACAGTCTCGGTGGACGACGAGGTAAGTGGCTCGTTTGCGTAGACACAGCTGGCTTTCCGTTTTCGACAGCGTGAGCATGTGGGTGTGCGTAGATCGCAGCTCAATTTCGATCTCGCACAAGCATCGCACGATCTCCTGAGCGTCCTACGCATTGTGAGGTACTCTCCGGAGGTTCAGGCATGACCTTTGTCTGTGATGAGGGGATGGAGTGCTGCGCATGCGGGAAGACGCGGGTCGCCCTCGCTTACATTAGCGTCGACAAGGGTTGGTGTGATGGGCTGAGCTCGTGTGCCCGTCATCAACGCCATTCTCCACCATCGGAAAATGAACTCTCTACGTGAGTCAGGCAACGCCTCCTTCTCAAAATCTCTCATTGCCGTGGCCGGTTTGTACTTCGGCAAGTCGCATATTTGTAGCCAGAGCGGTCGTATTTGAACAGCTCCTCACCTTGCAAAGGACTTTGGTTCATCTATGAGCTACTAAGCTGTTCACCTATGCACATTCGGCACTACAAGACAGCGGCGTGACCAGGGCATGGATCTCAGCACATTGCTTATAACATAAAGTTCTTCACTTATTTCCAAAACACGAGGATGCTCTTTACGCGAGAACACTCTTCGTAGACGCAATTTACACGTCGACCCCAGAGTAGTCAACCGTGACCCCGATCGCCACCCAGTCATATGCACTGCAGATCTGGCCCTTCCAGAAGTCTGACCCTGCTCGTTCTACGATATTGCGGAGAAGCCCAGAATAGCCCGATCGCCCACCAAGATTGCTGTCGTTCTCGTTGGTGGTGCCGGAGACAAGGGTCATAAGACCTGGATCGCGGCTCGCTTAATCTGGGTAAATGCCAATGGTATGTGGTCGAGAGCGGACGGAACGGCTATTGGATATTGGGCATAAAGGGACGACAAAGTGCTATACGGAGTCCATAATTCGTGGTTGTCTGGGAGGTATGCAGATCTCGTGGGAAATTCTGAGGCGGCATCGGTCTTTTCGAAAACTATTTCGGTATAAGAGCTCAGGATCGCGCTCTTTTTGAGAAGATGTTTGAGATACGTATTCTAACCTTATACTAAGTCATTACCTTTCGACACAAGTGCCGCACTCTAGACAACATCGTAGTCTTGTTACATCTGGCATCACTCCGCCGTTACCACCAACGATGCGTTCCCTCCTTCCCCTCGTCGTCCTTCCACTCCTAGCCCTCGCGGCCCCACCAACTTCTCCAACAATAACGCGGCTCGTTTTCTCGGGCTCAGGATGTCCTAATGACTCTGGTTCCGTGAAGTCTGACACCGCAACCCTCGGTGACAGCGCCGGCGTCTCCTTCACGCAACTCAAAGGCGACACAACAGATAACTGTGCTGTACACATTCAGTCAGCTGGAGCGAGCGAAGGCTGGCAAGTTGCGGTTCGACAAGTGGACTACGTGGGCGATGTGAATTTGAAGGGAAACAGCGGACTGGATACATATACCCAGGTCTTCTGGAGTGAAAATGCTGGAAATACTGTGAATAGTCATCATATCAAGGCTGAATGGAGAAACGCTGACGATATACAGGGCGTGCTCACAGGTGGTCTCGCATGTGCTGGCCCAGAGATCAAAGACTACATTACTGTGCGGAGCAGCACCGCGGATCTGAAGTGGTCAAAGTGTACTGGCGCAGA